CTCGCGCCCTCCTCCTTTTTCCAACCCGTTCTCGCAAATTTAATAAGTCAATATTGACTTATTAAATATGTGCATAGGTGACATACTTAACATAATAGATACCCTTAAAAAGATTCATAGAAAACACCGACCTTACCTAACCTACTTAGTATGTTAAGATAAGCATCTTATTGCTTCGTAATTACAATTATTACCTAACCTATAATAGGTATAGGTTAAGTAATAATTGTAATTACGAAGCAATAAGATGCTTATCTTAAGATACTAACAAGGTTAGGTAAGGTCGGTGTTTTCTATGAATCTTTTTAAGGGTATCTATTATGTTTAGTATATCACCTATGCACGTAGTTAATAAGTCAATATTGACTTTACGAATTTGCGAGAACGGGTTGCCTTTTTTATGACACCTTCTTCGACGCTGCCCTCCGCTCTATTCCTTGCTCTTCCTCTCGGGGTACGCGAAAGTGCGTTCCCTGGTGGAATGTGGACTGTGCTCGAGCTGTCTGCTGTAAGCGTGCAGCCTGGAAGAGAAAGCGTCGCCGGCAGACGTCTGAATCTTTTTTGTTTCGGAAGGCGAGTGCGGTGGCCTATAGGATCATCTGTACGGCTAACGTGCATGTTAGATGTCTTATGTCTCCACCATCACGTCCGATACTCCTCTACCATTGATCTGGAAACGTATCCGCAAGATAGCGGGTAAGTTCGTTCCCGATGTCTCACCGGTCCTTCAACTCGGGGTACTCTTGTGGCGGACCCGTTGCAGGTCGCGACCGAATTGGGTTCCCACTTTTCGTCTATTAGCTCTGGTTTTCATCTCCCCCATTCCTTCCTTCTTCGTAAGCCTCCTCTTGAATCTCGTCCTTCAGATTTCTGTACCCCATCTCAGACTTCCCTATAATGATCCCTTCTCTCTCTCTCTCTGAACTTCAGTCTGCCCTGGCCCTCTGTGGTTCTACGGTGGCAGGCTCTGATGGCATTCATTATGAGATGCTTCGACATATCCCTCCGTGCTCGTCTCAGTATTTACTGAATCCCTTTAATCGGGTCTGGGAGTTGTCGTCAGTCCCTGAGGACTGGCTCGAGGCTGTTGTTCTCCCTGTTCGGAAACCAGGGTTTCTCAGGTCATCCCCCAAGGACTTCCGTCCTATTGCCCTCACAAGTTGTGTCTGTAAGCTCTTTGAACATATGGTTAACATTCGTCTGATGTGGTTCTTAGAGCATTATCACCTCTTTTCACCTTCTAAATTTGGTTTTCCCAAATGCCGCAACACAACAGATGTCCTGGTGAACTTGGAGGTCTATATTCGTACTGCTTTTGCTGCGAAGACCTCCGTTGTTGCCGTCCTTTTTGACCTGGAAGAGGCTTACGACACTACTTGGCGGTATCATATTCTGGCCCAACTTCATTCTTTTGGCCTTCGTGAGAATCTCCCTCTCTTCCTCCAGGGTTTCCTCTCTCGTCGTTCCTTTCGAGTGAGGCTTGGTACCACTCTCTCTGCCCCTTTTCGGCAATATGAGGGTGTGCCCCAAGGTAGTGTTCTGAGCACTACTCTTTTTTTCTGGTTGCTCTCAATGTCTTCTTTCCTCCCTTCCTTCTGGCGTCTTGTCCGCTCTCTACGTAGACGATCTTACCCATTGCTGTCGGGGTATTGATTCGCCTCTCCTTCAATGGCAGTTTCAACTTGCGATTGATGTCATGTCGTCTTGGGCCACTGATCATGGCTGAAAGTTCTCTGCATCTAAGACTTGTTCTATGACTTTTACTCGGAAGCGTGTCATTCTTCATCCCTCTTTGTCTCTTTACAGACATCCCCTTGTGTACAAGGATTCCACTAAGCTTCTGGGGTTATTCTTTGACACTCGTTTGTCTTGGTCAGCCCATATCTCATACCTCCGCGATGAATGCTCTACGGCCCTTTCCCTCCTTAAGGTTTTGTCACATAATTCTTGGGGGGCGGATAGGCGTACACTCCTCTCCCTACATTCCTCACTCATCCTGTCTAAACTCGATTATGGTTGCCCTGCTTACTTGTCCGCTTCTCCTTCTACTCTTCGCCGTCTTGATGCTTTGCACCATGCTGGGTTGCGCCTCAGCTCTGGTGCCTTTCGTTCGACTCCCGCCCTCAGCTTGTATGTTGACACTAGTTTCCTTTCTCTCCCGGACTGACGTGATCTCTACTGTCTTCGCTATCTGGGGAGGTCCTTGCAACATCCTTTCTCTCACCTCTGTTGTACTTTGACTTACCCCTCCTGTAGTTACTGTTCCTCTTCACCACCTCCCTCTTTCTGTCCGGCTATCTCACTTACAGGTCACTCTTTCCATTCGTCTTTCTCATATTTCTCCTCATATTGTTCCTTCCTTGCCCCTGTGGAGGATCCCCCCTTCTGAAGTTTTGTACATCCTTGACCCACATTTCTAAAGCTTTTACTCTTCCTACGGTCCTGAAATGCCTTTTTCTTGAGCACTTTTCTTCGCACTCCCGCTCTGTTTCCGTCTTCACCGATGGGTCTAAGTCCGCAGACGGTGCGGGCTACTCCGTTGTTTTTCCTGACCGCACTTATATGTGTCGCCTCCCTTCGGAGACTAGCATCTTCACAGCAGAGCTTTATGCTATTCTCTATGCTCTCCATCTCCTGCTTTCTCGTTGTCAATCCTCCTTTGTGCTTGTAGTTGACTCTCGTAGTGCCCTCATGGCTCTCGGGTCTTTTAATCCTGTCCATCCCATAGTCGTCGAGATTGAACATTGGCTGTTTCTTATCTCTAGCAAATTTAAATCCGAGTTTCGCTGGGTTCCCAGCCATGTTGGTGTTTCTTTAAATGAGCATGCAGATGCTACCGCTAGAGAGGCTATCCGCTCTTGTCCCGTTTCCTGTAAAGGTATTCCTTTTTACAACTTTTATCCCGTTATTCGTTCCTCCATTCTTGCCCGTTGGCAAGGTTGTTGGTAACAAACTGCGTACTCTTAAGTGTTGTGTGTCCCCATAGCTTTCCTCCTGCCACCGTAACAGGTGGTGGGAAACGGCTCTAGCGCGGTTGCGCCTTGGCCATACTCGCTTAACTCACGGTCACTTAATGGAGCGCCGCCCAGCACCTTATTGTCCAAATTGCATTGTCCCTCTTACCGTCATGCATATCCTTGTTGAATGTCCTGACTTCCAGGACGAGCGTTTGTCTTGCTTTCCGACCGCCCCTCGTGGTCACTTGTCCCTCGATAGAATTCTTGGTGAATCGGATACTTTTGACATCGTTTGCCTTATGTATTTCTGTCCTCGTATTGGCATTCTTGGTGATATTTAACGCCCTCTGATTATTCCGCACATTTGATGATGCTATATAGCCTTCCCAGTTTGGTGCCTTCTTTTGATAATTACTTACTTGATGGTGAGGAATAGACGGTTTCTTCTGTCTATCTATTGGCCGGTAGAATAGGACACGTCCACAAAGTACAGACTTCCCCACTAGAATGCTGTGGCAAGGGGATGCAAGGCTCCTTGAGGGGCACAAACACTAGATCTACAATTGACCAATCGCGTTGCAAAAAGGCGATTGGTCAAAAAAGGCGGAAACCAATGATACTGATCGATACATGATCGATAGCACAGGTGACGTCATGAACACGTCATGACCACGTCACAGTTGTTTTTCTCCATCGCGCCGGTTGAGGCTGACCCCAGAGGTCAGAGCTTATCTCCCCGCCTCACGGGCTCCTCTCTACCACGCCTGTACCTTCTGTGTACTCACTGACTCCATGGCATGAATGCTTAATTCCTCTGTATCTAATTTACCCTTGGACATACGACGGCCTCCGTATTATATGTGTATTCCTGGTTATGTGGACATCCTGGGGGACACCCAACTTGACAGATTACCTCCAGGGTTAACAGAGATAACGCCCTGTGCACAAGATCGGTGCATTGTGCACTGCAATGATCCATCCAAGTTAGCTGTGGGAGAATCTTGAGAGACCATACTCTCACAGCCAGGTTCTGGCTTGTGGTCTCCGGTAGGCCTAAGAACTCCATACACATGACTGATGCCATAGTCTGACATTAACAATATCAGGCTGGATAGCTCCAGGGAGCCTCTGGGTCTCACCCAGAAAATGACATTTCATTACATTCAACACTGTTTTTTATGCACCTGTGGGTGTCAAAACCCAAATAGTCCAGAGCAGCTTAGGGGTCAAGAAGTTATAAACTTGCTCCATATTCTCATTAGCTTCAATGCATTTAAATAGAGGTGCCTGTTAATCCCACTTAACTTATCCTTAAGGAACTCCACTTTCCAGGAAGTTCTACATTTATCTTAGGTGCACTAATTACAATTAATGTCTCTTCCCAACTTGCTAAATGTTGGTCAGTTTGGCCAAGGTGAGGAAAAGCTTGAAATATAAGCCTTTGACAGCAGCCCATCCTAAGGTTTCCCATTGTCAAGAAACTGTTGTACTAAAGTGCCCTTATCCTAACTTACCAGAGGACCCTAAACAGAAAGTGGGACAGTATCTCAATTTTGCCAGCTGGTACCATTTTCTAGTATGACAATTCTTGGCCTTAGGTAGTGTACGTCCAAATGTAATGTTTGATTAGGAGAATGGGTTGATGACAGCAGATTGTAGTCAATTAACTCCAATAGCAATTCAGTACAGATGCTCAAGAGATACCACAGGTCTTCAACACCAAGTAACATTCACCAGCAGCACTGTAACACTCGTCTAGTTCCTCCTACGATATTAATTGTAATTGGTTGTCCACTTGGGAAGAGGTATTGTAATTACTGGACCTAGGATTAATGTAGAATTTCCTGGAAAGTGGCATTCTTTAGGAATAAGTTGTGGAATTAACAGGCACCTCTAATTATCTACATTGAAGCTACTGAGAATATGAAGCAAGTATATTGCTTCTTACTATAGTTACTACATATGTTAAAGTTTTGCATGTCTGTACATACAGTATTCTAGAGTTTAGTTGCCCCAGCTATATTTTCTTTTTCCTAATTGCAGGTGTTTCAGTGGGTGTCAAAACTAGCAAATTCATCAGAAATTGTAGTTCCTGTAAGCTAAGAAGAAACTAATCCCAGTATTCTGGCATGACTTGTTGTAACATGTAGAGTCTTGCTATTGAAATATGTCAATAATTTAGCGTATTAGCTCAAACATGGAGTAAGTTAATAGTGCTAGAGAATAAGGTGAATGATTTGTCTATATTGTACATAAAAGAAAGCATATGTACAGATTTTAAAATTCATAATAAGCCTCGTGTACTGTAGTGCCAACATACAAAAAAAATTGCCATTACAATGATTAGATTTAATAAAGTTTTAATTATATGACAGTCTTCTCATTACCTGTCCCTTCATATCAGTACTTATAGTCAATTAATGTATCATTACTGCATTTGCTTAAAGACACTTGATAAAGATAGAATAAATTTGTATTAAAAAGTATTATATCCTGTACATTATTGCAAAACTACAAATTATGCACAAGGTTTTCAACACGTAATAAAACAAAGATCTTCTCAGCTTAGTCGGAGGTGGAAAACGGCTGTGGCAAGGTTGCGTATTGGCCATACGCGCTTAACTCACGGACACTTAATGGAGCGCCGTCCTACTCCTTATTGTCCTAACTGCATTGTCCCTCTTACAGTTGTGCATATCCTTGTTGAATGTCCTGACTTCCAGGACGAGCGTGTCTTGTTTTCCGACCGCCCCCTGCTGTCACTTGTCCCTTAATAGAATTCTTGGTGAATCAAATACTTTTGATATCGTTCACCTTATGTGTTTCTATTCTCACATTGGCATCCTCAGTGATATTTAGTGCCCTCTGATTATACCACACATTGGATGGTGCTACATAGCCTTCCCAGCTTGGTGCCTTCTTTGATAATTACTTCCCAGCATAGTGCCTTGTTTTGATAATTACTTCAAATACAATTTGTGAATTATTCATAGAATATATGCAATATGATTATGAAAACAATCATTCCATAACTAATAGCTGAGGATCTCAGGACTAACAACCACTACAAACTACACAGAACAGGGCAGGGTTAGAGACCATAAAAATACTAAACAAATTGGAAAATATTAATCCTAAGGTCAAATAAAATTCTTCCCCAACACAGAAAATGGACAGAGGTTTATCACTGCTAACCCCAAACTACAGTAAACTTATCATGTGACTTGACCCCACTCTCCCTTTGTCAGGAAAATAAACGAGAGAGCCTCATAACAGTAATGGGAGAGATTATAGCGTGAGCGGATAAAAATAGATTACAACTGTTGGTAGTTGGCGACTTCGGCTTAAAATCCATAGACTGGGAGGCATATGAAGCTAGAACAGAGGACTTTTGGACATGTAGATTTGTAAACCTCATCCTAGAAACATTCCTGTATCAACATGTTAAGTGCCCATGAGTTAAATGTGAATGGCTAATATGTAACCTCGCCAGAACCGTTTCCCACCGCCAGTTACCGTGGTAGGAGGAAGGCCACGGGGATACACTACTCTTACGAGCACACAGTTTGTTACCAGTAACAGAACACCAACGACCCTGTCAACGGGTAAGAATGGAGGAATGAATAACTGTGTAAAAGTTGGAATAAGGAATACCTTTACGGGAGATGAGATGGGTGCAGATGGCTTCCTTAGCGGCAGCATCCGCACGCTCATTTAAGGACACAACCCCCTCCCCGCTCAGCTCGTTGATGCCGTGAGGGGTGCTTGGTGGGCGGCTGCCGGAGTGTGATGCTCCTTGGGACAGTCCTCTGTCCTTTTCTAGCCTTGTGCTCCTGCTGCCGCCCTCTCCAATTTTGCTGAGCACCTTTTCCTTTTCCTTCTGTTTCGTTTTTCTCCCCCCTCTTCTCCTATCTGCTTGTCGTTTCCTGCCGACCGTTTGCTTGTTTTGGATCTTTCTTTGGACTTCTTTTATTTTGACGCCTGGGTGCTTGAGGAGGCATACTCTTGCACCCGTAGAACTGTTGTACCCGACGTCTCGAGCGAGGGGAACCTTTTATTGTCAATCCCCCTTTCGTCGCTGAACCCGATCTCGATGGACTGACGGTTCTTAAGGTGGCGTTTATGGGGCGTATACTCACGACGCACCCCTAGGGGGCCCCGGCATGATCGGCGATAGCTTCCTGTTGGGTGTCCTGCCTCTAATTGTGGCTCCATGGTGGGTATGGGGGCACATTTGTGGATGAATTTCTTTCTCTTCGTCTCTATGTCGATAAATGCTTCCGTTGTACCCTCTCAGGCTCGTGGGGTGGGCGACCAAGCCCCCGAGTCGGCCTGTATTGGAAGACCGGGCTCTGTAGCTCCTGCTGCGTTGAGCCCCGACCTTGCTCCTCCTTTGACCGTCCTGACTTCTTCCCCCAGCTCCCCTCTCTCCTCTGTGGTTGGGTCGAGCCTCCAGCCCCCAGTAATGACCACTTCGTCCCCTGGTGCGGCTAAGTCTCTCGTTGTGACTACTGCACCTTTTAACCCCTCTCTCTCTGGGGGTTCTCAACGCCGTTCGCGCCCCTGCCACACTCGCTCGATTCCTTCCCGTACTGCCGCAATTAAGGCCTTGTTTGGTCCCGCTTCATGGGCCAAATACTTTGATCTCCTCCCTCTTGATTCTGCGCTTCCTGACGATTTCTCCCTCCATCAGCATCTTGTAGATTCCGTGGATGCGTCCGTTACTTTCAACCCCACTCGTCTCGGTACACATGTCGTTGCTGCTCGTTATTCAGGATGCAGCTTCCTGCTTGGCAGCCTTGTCTTGCCTTGGCGAGATCCCTGTTCAGGTCTCCAAGAATGTTCAGATGAATGCCAGTGTTGGCACTATTCTCCTCCCGCCCCATGTTGCAACCGGTGTTCAGAATTTGCAGGATTGCCACGACGATATTCGGCATATCCTTGATGCCCAAGGCCATTCTGTCCTCCAGGTTGACTCGTTTACTCGTCCCCCTTGTGGTCTTCGCCGTCAACCCCTTCGTGTTGTGAAGATCACCTTTGATGGTAGGACCCTTCCATCCTCTGTCATTCTTGCTGGTGCTAGGTGCTCTGTCCAGGAGTATATTCCTTCCCCTCGACTTTGTAACAAGTGCTGGAGGTTTGGGCATGGTGCCCTCCACTGCTCTGGGACTGTCTCTCTCTGTCCTTTGTGTGGGGGTGAAGGTCACTCTAAGTCGGAGTGCACTTCTCCCCAAGGTCGCTGCCTCAACTGCGGTGAGGCCCATCCTACCTTCTCCCGTGCGTGTATCCATTACAAGCTTGAGGCGGCCGTCCTCAACTTGAAGCACCGGGAGCGTTTATCTTTTCCTGAGGCGAGGCGCCAGGTTCGCCGGCTCCCGCCTTATGCTAACGTCTCTTATGCTCGCGTGTTGCACTCTTCCTCTCCTCGTCCTTCCCTCCTTCCTCAGACTCCCAACCGTTTCCGGGCCTTGGACCCTGATACGCCCACTGCCCCCTCCTCTGTTCCTTTGAGTTCTGTCCCGAAGGGTCCCCCTCCTGGTCCTCTGTCTGGGGTTCCCCTTCTTTCTACCCGGTCTGTTGTGTCTCCTGTGTCTTCTTCCTCGTCTCCCTCCGATCCTCCTTCCCATCCTCTTCCTCCATCTATTGGCTCTCCCCGCCGCCTGTTGGTGCAGGCAGATGTCCATCGCTCTCCTAACGGCCGTCGTGTGTGCTCTCGTTCAGCTTCTCCTGTTGAGACACTGGAATCCGTTGCCTGGTACGTAGTTTTACGTTGCTGGGACACCGGTCTCTTTGAGTCAGAAGCGTAAGCCTGGCTCCTCTCCTTCCTCCTCCCCGGCGGGTAAGAAGGCTTCGCTTTCTTCCTCAGCCCCTACTTCTGGCTCTGTTGCTTCTTCCCCTCCCATTTCAGTGATTGCGCCCCCTGTTCCTGCGATGGAGGTTTCTTTGGCCCCTGCTTCCCTGTCGGTTGCTGCCCTTGCTGAGGTGAGCTCCCCTCTTTCTACTCCCCCTCTTCCTGCTGCTGTCCTTGACTGCTCCTCTCCGTTGTCTCCTCTTCCTCCACCTCCTCCGGACCCCGCCCGCCCACCTCTGGTGTGTTCTCCCGCTTCCTTCCCTCCATCTTTGCTCAGTTTACCCATGCCCCCTAACCCTGACTTTGCCGACCCTGATCCTGACCCTGATATTCTTTAACGTGCTCTGTTGCTCTTTCGCCTTTGTTTCTTCCTTGTTCTCTGTTGTTGTCTTTTCCCGTCTCGTTGATGTCTTTTCTTCAATGGAACGTTCGAGGTTATTATACCAATTTCCTCGAACTCCAACTTCTGATTTCGCGGTTTTCGCCCCTTTGTGTCTGTCTCCAGGAGCCGATGCTTGGTGCTCGTCCTGGTCGTTTTCGTGGCTATTCCTTTCTCTCTCCCCCCCCCCCCCCAGCCGTTGCTGGGGCTGCTAATTCTTCTGCTCTCTTGATTCGCGCTGATGTTCCCTTTGTTCCTTTACTTTTTCTTTTGCCTCTCCATTGTTCTGCTGCTCGTATCTTTGTGGGGAAATGGTACACAGTTTGTTCCATTTATCTCCCCCCGAGTGTCCAGCTTTCTCTTCCTGATCTGAAACACCTCTTGGACTCCTTGCCGGAGCCTGTGCTCCTGCTGGGTGACTTCAATTGTCGTCATTCTCTTTGGGGTGACGTTCTGACGAATACCCAGGGTCGCCTTCTTGAGCCGTTTCTCCTCTCTTCTTCCCTGTCTCTTCTGAATTCTGGTGAGCCAACTCATTTGGACTCTCGGACTCGCACCCTTTCCTGTCTTGATCTTTCTCTCTGCTCTTCTTCTCTTTACTTAGATTTCACGTGGCAGGTTCTGGATGACCTCCATGGCAGTGATCATTTCCCTATCCTTGTTTCCTTTTTCTCGCTTCGCCCTTCCCTCTCCTTCCCTAGGTGGCAGTTTGCTAAGGCGGACTGGAACCTATTTACCCTCAGTGCTCCTCTCTCTGACCTCTCCCATCTGCCTCTCCCTCGTGCTCTCCTCCTTTTTCATGACACTGTCTTCAACGCTGCCCTCCGCTCTATTCCTCGCTCTTCCTCTCGCGGTCCGCGGAAGTGCGTTCCCTGGTGGAATGCGGATTGTGCTCGGGCTGTCCGCTGTAAGCGTGCAGCCTGGAAGAGGCACTGCCGTCGGCAGACAGCCGATTCTTTTCTTTTCTTTCGGAAAGCGAGTGCGGTGGCCCGTAGGGCCATCCGTACGGCTAAACGTGAATGTTGGGCATCTTATGTCTCGACAATTACGTCCGAAACTCCTCTGCCCCAGATCTGGAAGCGTATCCGCAAGATAGCGGGTAAGTTCGTTCCCGATGTTTCACCGGTCCTTCACCTCCA